CTCAAACAATGATTTGAGATCATTTAAAGAAAAACTAGGATGATTGAGATGTCATTTTAAGTAAGTCCTTTTTCCTCTTTAGGCTTCAGTTTTCTCATTTGCAAAATGGAGATTGGGCTTCATGGAAATTTCCTTTCATCCTACACTATGGAATGAAAACAATGCCAAAGAATATAGGAGCCCCCCTCTCCTGATTATTCCAAGAAAAAGCAATCATCAAGTTATCTTGGGCTAACATTTATTGAATGTGAACTGCACGCCAAAATTTATTGAGTACCTCCTCCAACTGAGGTACCATGCTAGGTACTTTCCACATTTTTATTTCTAATCCTCACAACAAGGATGAAAATGGGCCTCATCCCTGTATGTTATGGGTAAAAAACAAAAATTAAAAAGGCTGAGGAAAGTAACTCAGTGTGAAGGCCCTGGGTTCAATCTGCAGCACTGAAAAAAAAAGGGAGGGGTCAATACTTTTACACAACTCTCTAAGTAATTCTGTTATGCATCTAGATTAAGGAACCACTGCTCTGCTTTACCCTCTCAATGTGAATAATCAACAGCATAAGTAATCCATGTGGATTCATTTCTGTTAGGGACAGGATGAAAGCAAATTCTCCCACTTGCAGTATGCACTGGAGATCTCCACTGGGGTTTTCCAAAGTTTACAGATAAACAAATAAAATAAGGGCTACACAAGCAACGTCACTTACTTGCTGAGAACATGATGATGAGTCTTCTGTACATAAGTGTTCTCTAAAGATCTGTTGCTGTTGATGATGTTTGCTGACCAACTCTGGTTTAGATATTTGTAGGGAAAACTCCACGCATTTTATGCCTGCTGTCCTGACCTCATTCCAAGCCATCCTCTTCACTGTCACCACAGGTTTCCGTCTAAGGTGCAGCTCTGAAATTACTCTCTTATCCAAAAGTCATCAGTGGCAATCTTATGTTAGTTTTCTGTCATTGTGACAAAATACCCGAGATAATGAACTTGTAAGAAGAAAAGGTTTATTTTGGCTCACAATTTCAGTCTGTGGTTGCTGGACACTATTGCCTTTAGACATGTGGTCTCACAGTCTGTTATGACAGGAGAGTGTGCAGAAGAGCTGTCACCTCAAGGAAATCAGGAAACAGAGAGAGAGACAGGAAAGGGTCAGGGTCTCAATATCTCTATTCAAGGGCATGCCCCTAGAAACCTAACTATCCCCAGTAGCTTCCACTTCTAAGAGATTCCACCCCTTCCCTAAATAGCCCTATAGGCTGTGGAACAAGTGTTTAACACATGGGCCTTTGGGAACACTTAATCAAACCATAGCACTTGTATATACAAAATAAAGCCTGTACCTCTCAGCATAGCATTTAGTAACTCTACAAAGTAAACATAAACTATTATTTGTCAGATAGAAAAAAAACTGAGACTCAGAAAGGAAAAGTAAATTGCTTAAGATCGCACACAGGTACGCAAAGGTAGAACCACAATTTGAATCTACATCTCCTGTTGCCAGTACTCTAGCCACTATACAGCACACATGCTTTCTAAAAAGTGTAGAAATCATAGGTACTGCATGTGTTGCTAGAATGATGGGATGGTGGTTACATAATCCTGTTTCCTGGGTGGGGCACATACTTTGAAACTCAGACAAATGAGCAAAGATACCTGTTCTACTTCTTACTGGCCTTGTACACTTAACTGACGTAGTCTCTTGGAACCTCTGTTCTCTCATTTATAAAATAAGATCAAATCATCTCGACCCAATATTATTGGGAAAATTATATGAGGTCATATATATAGAGGTCCCTCCACAGTGCTAGGCTCACGGAAGACTCTCTGTGGGTGTCATCATCCACTGTTATCCCTATTCCAATGACCTAAAACCCCATTTAAACCGTGAGGGGAAGGGCTGAGGATTTGGCTCAGTGGTTCCACTGCCTGCCTTGCAAGCACAAGGGCCTGAGTTTGATCCCCAGTACCACCAAAAACAAAATAAAACAAAACAAAAAACAGCGAGGAGAGTAGAATCTACACAGTAAGGATTCAGACAGAAGGCAGAACTCCATGACTTATTAGTTCTAGGGTTGAAAATAACCATTTTCAGGGTCTCATTCTGATTCCCCACAAGTGGATACTAAGGTTAGTACTCCTCTGGGGCAACAGTTAGCCACATGTATGGTGAGATCTCTGACTAAAAAGCAAACCTTAGCCCCAGTGCCAATTATGCCCATGACTTTTTTGTCATTCCTTATGGCTGAAGCATTGTGGATTTTTATTAAAATACAAATGTTTTCGGGGAGAGGTAGCATACATATTAACTTTTTGGCCTGATTGGCTTTCTCTTCCCTCTTTTGATGAGTGGAGTCTGTCTATGTCTATGTGCTTTGAGCTCAGAGTATGGGCTCCCCTACCCAACCTGTTAGAATCCTACCCACTACTCCAGGCCCAACTTGGATATCACTTCTTCCAGAAGCCTACTACTGGATATCTCAGCTAGATCCTGCCTTCCCTGCTCTGTCCTCTCCCTCCAGTACTAAATTCAAGACTCCTGTGGTGAAGCACATGGAGGAGCATTAGGTCTTTGCTGTATGGAGTCCTACCTTGAATTTTAGTTTGTCTTTGAAATCAAAGCCCATGATCTTGGACTAATAAATGCCTTGACCTCAGTTTAGCTTGAGTTTTTGTGCCTGCACAAAGCTGGCGATAATACTTAGCTAGAGGCAATAGGAACATGATTTATCCATTTGCACAATACTGCTCTGCTGACTAGCACCATTCAGAGTTTGTGAATTTGGCTGATTCCTCTTATAGATTTTAAGCCCTTCAAGATACCTCTACTGTATTCTCCCACCCAGTTTCGTCTGCCCTCGGGTGTTTAATAACCATTCATTGGCTTTGAAAGAGGTCAGGCAGCCCTAAGAGGCATTTCCACCCAGTATGCAGCCTTTCACCTGGCAGGGGGATTACTGAGATGTGGTTTACTGGGATGAGGATTACTGAGATGTGATTTGCCCTACAAGGGACTTGCCGCTGGCCCTCCTGACATGGGGAGGGGGAGGAGGGGAGCTGAGTACCTTGGTAACAACACTGTGGCCTCCTCATGTTTAGGGCATTAGACGTGCAAACACTGGGAGCCCTGCTGCCTGTAGGACAGATCACCCTGTCCTCCTCTGCAACCAACAAGTTTGCTGGGGAACAAACTCTGCCTTACCCTCCTAGAGCCAGGGCCTAAGTGTGGGACATTTGGTGGGGATCCCACATCTCTGAACTTGACAGGTGGGCAGAAGGGGTGGGTGTGGGTGTTGGGAAGACATCCTTCCACTTGAGGTTCCCTGGAGTTCCCAGCACCCGAGGGGCCAGGTTAGCCAGGATGTCGGGGGCGGGGCAGCCCTTGCCCAATCTAGCTGGACTCGACCCCTATTTCCTTCTCCCCATTCCGGGACAGAGCCAAGAGAAGCCACAACTGAGCTCTGACTCCCACCCGGGCCTGATCCCTGGGTCCCTGGTGCCACTGCACCTCCCTCCCTTCCTGGCCCGGCCCCCTGCCCAGACTCTGCCCTGCCCCGGCCCAGACCCGGCCCTCTGCAGCTCCTCTGGGCTTCAGGTTGGCGCAAACAAAGCCCTGATTGACTGCCCGGAGGGGCGGGCCTCCCTGAGAAGTCGCCTCCTCCCCTCCCCGCCTGGCCAGGATTTGCTGGGAAAGGCGGGGGTAGGGGGAGACTGGGGGGTGCGCAGGTCAGGGAGGAGCCGAGCTCGAGGCTCCAGAGGATTGTGCCCACCTATTGTCCGAAACCCTGGCAGTCCCCTCCAGGTCGCCCCCCTCAAGCCTAAGTGGGGACATGGGGATTCCTGAGGGCAGGGTAGGGTCCTTCATTGGGTAGCTTTCCTCTTGAGGTCCCCAGGGCCACCTCGGTTGCAAGCTGCTTGCGAGGAAGAGGGGAATGGGAGGGAAGAATAATCAGGGTAGTCCTTGGAGACTCAGGCTTGATCAATGCCGGTTCTAGAGCGTGTGAAGAGGAGAGGACAGGACAACAGGACAGTTTGTGCTCTTTTTTTCTATTTTAATTTTTCCTGTACTGGGCATCTGGACAAGAACAGGATCCAGTAGTTGGGAAGAGTTTAGAGCAGTCAGCGGCGGGTAGAGTAGATAGACGAGAAAGAGGAGGAGGAAGGGCCAGGGAGAAGAGCTGAGGCTGTAGCGGCTGCCTGCGGAGGGAGGAAGAGGTGGGAGGAGGAGGAGGGGGAGGAGAGAGATGACATGGGGAGAGGAGGAGGGAGGTTGGATAGGGGAGGTGGAGGAGGAGAAGGCTCGTGGGACCGTCTGTCGCGGGACGGGCTGGCCAGCTGGGGCGCGGAGCCGGGAGGAGGAGGCAGCAGCAAAGGCAGCAGCAACGTTCGGAGCAGTAGTAGCAGCGGCAGAAACAAGTACCAGCCACTCAGCGGCTCCACCAGCCCGAGCAGCCACAGTTCCCCGGCCGCGATGGCGCTGCAAAGCCCAGCTAGCGAGGAAGCCAAGGGGCCCTGGAAGGAGGCAGACCACGAACAGCGGGAGCCGGAGAATAGTCCGGAGCCAGAGCCAGAGCCTGAGCCTGAGCCTGAGCCTGAGCCTGAGCCAGTGCCGGTGCCAGTGCCTCCACCGGAGCCCCAGCCGGGGCCCCAGCCCCTACCGGACCCCGCACCTCTGCCAGAGCTGGAGTTTGAGCCCGAGTCGGTGCACGAACCTAACCCCACGCCCACAGTGGAGACCCGCGGCACCGTGCGTGGCTTCGAGCCTCCCGAAGGTGGCTTCGGCTGGATGGTCGTGTTCGCGGCCACCTGGTGCAACGGCTCCATCTTCGGCATCCATAACTCTGTCGGGATCCTCTACTCCATGCTGCTGGAGGAGGAAAAAGAGAAAAATCGCCAAGTGGAGTTCCAAGCAGGTGAGTGGCCCCAAGAGCCCCACTTTGCGTTCTGGACAAGGGTGCATGCTCTTGCTGCCGCCCCCATACTTTCTGGTCTAAATGCCCCCCAGAGTGCCCCTGCTACTTCTCCCCCTTGCTCCCTGCGCATGGCCTTGCCAGGGCGCGGAATGCCGGGCTCTGGGCAGCCTCGGCAGTGCACTAGAGCCAACAGATCCTGAGGGTGGGAACCGGGACATCTATTGATCACAGGCAAGCAATGAACTTTTTTGCTCTGGGACAAACCTAGACTCACCTTTTGGATTTGTTTAAAGTACTTTGCTTGTGTGTGCAGGGGCAGCGGGAGGGGTGGGATATTGCACGATGGGGGGAGGGTCATGACTAGAGAGTTGGGAGGCGGTCGGGCTCTGACACAGACACCGTACTGCGGATCTTTGCAGTAGCCCCAGTTCCTTTGGTGGAGTGGAAGTGTTTTGTGTCAAAAACACCTTAGAAATACTGAGGACTCCGCTCAGAGTGAATACAAAGCAAGCGTGTGTGTCTGCAGGAAAGAAAGGGAGAGATGGAGTGTGAGTGGGGGTGTGAGCGTGTCTCTTTTACTGCAGTGGTTATGGCCCAGCCAGGCCTGGCTGTCCTCTGTCGCCTTGGGGGAACGAAGAGATCTTGGTGCCCTCTGAGCCGAGCCCCAAAGCCGGCTGGGAGGCAGTCTCTACGGTCTCCTGCCAAAGGGGCGGAGGCGGCAGGCAGGCTGGGCTCTGTGGCTCACTCAGCGCCGCCCCCAACCTCAGCGGTGGCCTCCCAGGCACCCCGTGCCTCTACGCTATCCGCGGGGTGCCTCTTTCCGCTTGAAGCCGGAATGCCCGCCCCGCCACTCCCACTTTGGCTTGGGACTGACTTGGTCTGCTTCCCTAAGACTAGCGAGGTTGGGGGCATAGCCCTCGCTCTCATGTCAGGGGCTGCAGTACACGGGGCGTGCATGCTCCTGGCATTTGGGAGGCTTGTGAGCTCAGAAAAGTGGAAAAGTCGGAAGAGCCATCTAGCTTTGCGGGAGAAGCCCTTTAGCAATTCTGGTGAGAGGTCTCAGGACCGAATGGAGGGCTTGGGATACCCTCTGTCCAGTTTCCGCGGGTGGATCCTCAAAACGGCGCGAAGCACTCCACTGTTCCAAGTTCAAAGCTTGAAAACTTGGCTTTTCTCTGTGTTGCCCCTGAGCTCAGGGGTTCTCTCCTCTTGCCAACCTTCAACATATACTTTTGCTGCCATCTGAGGGGGCTCGGAGATTAACTGAACATAGAAACTTTGAATTGTGGGGCATGCATCTGTAGATTCCTTTTGGAGAGCCTCTTCTACTGCCCCAACCATAGACTTGTGTTTTCAGTTTGCAGCTTTCCTGTACTATCCTGCCAAAAGGATTTGGGGCTCTTAGAGCTTCGGACCTTGACCCATTGGCATAGCCGCAGAGTGCCAGTCCCACTTGAAGAAAACTCAAGTTTGTAGTGGCTGACAAGGGCAACCTCACAACTACCCAGGCCGCCTGAGAAGTTGGAGAGGCTCCCTGGACTGTGTGTAACAGTTTCTGGGGTGAAGGTCGCTGGACCAACTTTTCCGTGCTTTGATGCAGTTCAGGGGCTCTGGGGAAGACAGCCTGGGTAGGGCCTCTGGCTGTTGTCTGAGTTACTACTTGGGGAGGTGGGTCACCTGCTGAGCCTTGCCCTGTGATTGAAAGCAGGCTGTTGGCCTTTGGAATCAGTGGCAAATCTGGGTGAAACTTGAAGGTAAGAAATGGAGACTGGACTGAAGCTAGGCCCTGGTGTTTATGTGTTGCCAGCAGGCCTAGACCAGGGGCCTTAAAGAACATGTAATAAAACTTGGAAAAACCACTATTTTACCAGGAAGAGATTTACTGCTGGGGAACAGACTTCAAAGTAGGTGACCATAGGGGACTCAGGGGGAGGGCTGGCTAAGACTTTCCTGTCAAGACTGCACAGTGCAGCTGGGAGAAGGCAGTGATCTATGCAATGGCGTGGCCAGTGTATACTTTGACACAGACCAGGTTCACTGAAGAGCTGAGGTTATTGGCTTTAATTATGGAGAGTATAGGTCAGGAAGGAACACAAGGAATTTGGTATGTACCCAGGGTCTCGGGATACATTGGCTTGGATCCTTGCTATGATGTATCTTAAATTCACTGAAGTTATTTTTGATACTGGAATCTCTCAAGAGCACCTCAGTTTTTTTATTGTAGAAAAGTGAGGAAGACCTTACCATTTTCTGGAACTCCTAGAAAATCGTATCCTCATACTACCTTCTTGAGTCACTCAGCTTCTCTTAGCCACCATTTAAATTTTTAGACTCCAAATATCTGCCTGCCTACACTGCAGTTAACTCAAAATTTCCCAGCCACCTATGCTACTGCCCTCGTGTCTCATAAGAATGGAAGTTTGCTGTTGTCTTTATCAGCCACTGTTTGCCCAGTTGCCGTATGGAGGATACTGGAGGTTGGTGCCTTGTCCATTTCTATTTATATGATGATCTGTCAATTTCTATTAATGTCTGGCATGATTTCTGTCTCAAAAAAATCTATGAATCTAGTGTTCAGAGGCACCCCAAAACCCAAATTGTTTTGGATTAGGCTTGACATCATGGTAGCCCTAAAGCTATACTGATTGATTTAATAGGTTCAAGTTCTGTAGATGTAAGGCAGACCTAGAGAAAGGTTAGATATTATATTTGGAGGATTACTCCACGTCAGGGGGCCTTTAGGCTAGGGAATATGCTGCAAGAAGTAGAAAGGAAGTGGAATTAGGCTATACTGAAGAAAATAATCTAGAATCTTTGTGGACTCTGTGGTATGTACAGTTCTGTGTGTCACTAACAGTAGATTTTGTGCCCTTTCTTTACTTGGCTTGAGGAAAGACAACTTCCCCATTGGCTGGGAAGATTGGAAGGCAAAAGGTTCCTGACCAGAAGACAAGAAACAAAAGTCTGTTTTATGGGGAAAAAAAGCGAAAAAATCAAGAGAGAAATGTTCCTATACTTTTGCAGAGATTATGAAGAATTCAGTGTTCTTCAAGCCAGACCATGAAGCAGATAGGATAGGAGGCAGCCAGGAAATTTTGTGAAAAATATAGGCCTAGCATGGTTTCCTAGTATGACAGGAAACCCTTTCAGAAGAAAGATGAGGAAAGTGGCATTTATCGCAGGCCCACAACTTTCTACTGAAACACTACATGGGGGTTGTATTAGGATTGGGGGCTCAGGAGATAAAGTAGAACAGGAGAAAGTTAACATTGGATCCAAAGTTTAGTCTTTGAAAGTGCTCCAGAGTAAACCCATTACCCGACACTTTCCACCTCAACTGCCAGTCTAACACTGAACCATAAAATATGATGAGAGGCATTTTTACTGAGCACTTTATAAGCATGGCCTTTGCAAGCTCCTGAAAGAGGGCAGGACTAGGACTCTTATTACTAGAGAACGGGACAATGGTGAGGAAGGTTCACTACTCGTATAAGATTGTTCCGGATAATTAAACAGTTTGATGGAGACAGAATTTTCTAGGCATAGAGAAGAATGGTCCACTCTACCTTTGGGTGAACCAAGAGTCCCAAGGATGTATGGGTCCAGTAGTAAAGAAGGCTATCTTTCTTCTCTCCGTCTTAGGGGTTTTCATAGCTTGGCTGTGTCCCTCTGGGTTTACCATTAAATTGCTGACTTAGGGATTAAAGTATCTTTTGAGCAAATCTGCCAATATCTTGACTGACTGAATGTTTTTGTCTACTATCCAGCATAGCTAGATCATGTTGGCTTAGAGTTTGATGTGGAACTTCAGGCCACATGGCCATTGGCCGGACATCTTTCAAATCATTTCCTTGCCTCCTCCCCAACCAAATCTGGCTCCAAACTGTGACTTAGATTCCTATTGGAAAGGTGAGAATGAGAGCTTGGGGCATTTGGAAGACAAACAGGAAGATGCTTGTTTGAGCTGGGGTAGCTGGTTGAAGCTGAATTCCTAGATCACTGTCCAGTGATCTCATACCAAATTTGGACCCCCAAAAGCTGGTGATCTCACTGATGCCATCTAGGCAGTGACTATGAGTTAGAAAACTTATGGTATTAACTTGTTCTGTGACTCTGAGCAGGCATTTTACTTCTTGATGCCTCAGTTTATCTGTCTGTAAGATGAGAGGGTTTGACTATATAAGCTTTCTAGCTCTGCCATTTTCTTTCCAGAATTGTATGACATTTTATTCTTTACTATTCTCCTAATATAAATTTTGATTTATTCAGACAAATGGAAATTTGTAAAGCTGCTTGAATGGCTATGAGGAAGAGGTAGGAACTTAGGAAAATAAAGAAAATTCCTCCAGACACCATTTTCTCATGTCATTTGTATTTAAAGACTATGGGACTATACACAAATATAGATACAGTTAAAAAGGCAAACTCATTTTTACCCAATACATAAGGGCAACTCTGACTTTATAGCTGCTTCGCCTACAGTGGTCTGCTCAACAGAGAGCTGGACCTCTAAAAGAACTCCCTCACCTTGGCTTGCTGCAAGCTACTAGGGTGGGTCTGTATGCTGCTCTTAGTACTTGAATCCGTTCCTCAAAAACATTAAACAACAAATGTTTCCTCAGGCCCAAGTTTGGACCCTTCTCTGAAATTTAATTTCCTACAGCTTGCTCTCATTTCTCAGAAATGAATGGTTAGTGTGACTTTGGCTTGCTCTTATTTCAGGCTAGAGAGTGAAACAAGATTACTAAATGTGACAACACAGGTTCCCTTCAGGGGGCTTCAAGCAGGGCATTTTTTTAGCTAGCTCAGGGATGTTGCCTGTATCCCACTGTGGTGGGGATGAGAAGGGTTGCTGTTTGTGATCTTAGAGAAGGCCTGTTGGCTGTCCACAATCCTGATCAACTTCAACCTCACTCAAGACTTAGCTGAGAGTATGCTGCAGACATAAAGCTCTCTCTCCTTTTCCTTGGATGTATATTTTCTTGTCATTGGCAATATGT